GGAAACCTGGAGGTAGAACCAAAATGTATACTGTAAAATACTTTATTTTCACTTGAAATTAATTATTGCTATTTTCGTTTAAGGAATGATTAAGTGAAAATAAAATCAGTGAATATACTTTTTTCTCTATATTTTACATTCAATTCGCCAAGATAAATGATAATATAATAATAATTTTATTAATTGTATAATGGCCTCCGGTCCATTACAATCATGCTAATTAATTATTGACAAGAAATAAATTTACATTACAAAATATGTATGAAAATATAGATGAAGAGTGTGTCAATACATAATATAAGCCCTATATAATAATGTGATGGGGATCATAATATATATATACATACAAGCTTATTAGGTTATTCTCATTTGATCTTTGATTAATTTAAATAAATGATAATAAATTCTATGCAAAACACTCAAAAAGTCCTTTCAGCGAAAATTAATTCCAGCTAAAATAAAGTATTTCACAGTAATTATATACTCACAGTTGTGACAAGCACAGAGACGAATACAAATGCACTAATTCAATGTTAACAAAGTTACAATCATTTGTCTGGTTCTACTTACAGTCAGTGTTATTGGCGATGTGGCACCAAACACTGGATCGTGATCGTTGACAGCCTCCATTACAATATTGACCGTAGTCGTACCACTTAGTTCTGGAGTGCCGCCATCCACTGCTCGTATCACCAATATATAGGAAGCAGGGTCATCCGATCCAGCGTCCAGGTCTATTATGTTCTTGATTTGTATGGTCTCCGTTGGCTGGTCAATTTTGAACAGATCGTCGTCATTACCAGAAACAAACTCATATTGGATAGTTGTCAGCGCAATAGAATCGGCGTCCGTTGTTGTGAGTGCAAGCACACTCGTATCGACGGGGGAGCCCTCTACGACATCGTCGCGGTAATATATATTTTGAGAGAATATCGGCTCGTTATCGTTGTAGTCTTCGATATCCAGTATGATATCGTCGGTAACGGTGTTTGAAGGATTTCCATCATCTGCTGCCATCACGGTTATTGTATATCGTTGTGGGTCAGTCTCGTAATCAAACGTGCCGATAGTGACGATTTCTCCCGTGCTTGGCTCAATGTAAAACTTATTGACGTCTGAAAACGAAAGTAACATATATGAATAAATGCATTTGGTGGTAGCCGAAGTTGTGCCACCGAAAAGATCACAGCTAACGCGACAGTTATTCCGTCAATTCATCACATCTACAAAGGGACTACGTTATCCGCTACCACTGATCGATTATGATATATATTAGGAGAGGTACATTACTTGGGGTTTGCAACAACGGTGACATGATACCAAGATCCCGTTTCAATCTCGCTCTCACATAAGCGTTCCAACTCAGAAAAATGCGAATGCGCATGCCCGAGGTAACTAGGATACTGGGATGTCCAGGTGGATCAAAATAGATGCTCACGATATGACGGATTACGATAACTATATTTTCTGTACATTTTCGATGTATTACATTTTTTCACTATGAATGTGGTAATACATGTTTCATTGTTTTATTACAAACCGCCTATGTCATGTCAGAAGGTCGTAGCATCAGTCTCGCTACGAGATGAGACTTGAATGGGATCTTGGCATGATGTCGCCATACAGTACTATGCTGGTTGCAAACCCACAAGTAATTTACCCCTGATATTAGTTATTTTCACGCTGCTAATATATTCAATGAAGTAACTTGCACGCAGAATACTAGTACTTCTCTCCCAATTGGCTCTGTGGTAAGCGATTATGAGCAGTTTTTTTATAACTTACTTGGGTCGACTGCATCAATGGAGTAAGATATAATTCCATCTGAACCTTCGTCGGAATCCTCTGCCACGATATCACCGACGTCGGCCACAGTTGTACCGGAAGGCGAGTTTTCTAACATGGTGAGAACTACAGCTGGGAATGTCGTGAATGCAGGTGTATCCTCGTTCTCAGACGTTATCTACAGACGGAAAAACAGATTTGGCTACAAATCACTGAACATTATACACCGAAAATATGATTTACCTTTATATATTATTTATATACTTTATATATTTGTATACAGTCCGACGGCAGTATGAGGGCGCGCTTGCCTGCCCAATCCAGTTATATCATTTGGGTTTGAATGAAACTGATTTCAAATAAAAACCGTTGGGTTTGTAACATATTTATAAGAATAAACATATATTTGATGCCTTCATTATTGCGGTGTTGTTCTAGTTGTTCTGGATATTATATTATATTAGTATTGTTTAATATTTACGACAACACATCCTGTCTAAATCTTGACTAAACTGTGAACTTTTTAGATTACTGAGATTTGACGTCTCGCGATCATTTTGTGTTTGGTTATACAGATGCAGATGTATGTTATAGTCTAAATACATTAACTGTGGTGTCTATCGAACAATATTCTCAGTTATTGAGATATATAATGGAATATAATGGAATATATATTACTTCATGCAATAACAGAAATAGTCGAAAGCAGAAATCGACGTTGCATGACCAAAGAAATATATTTTAGACAATAAACAATAAACAAGTTACAATCGATGCAATTCACTCCATTTTATCAACGTGAATCACCTCCATTTAATTAATGTGAATCAAAGCTTACCTCAATTACTACAGTGGCAGTAGTAAGTATGCCACCCCCGTCATCCGCAGTTACTAATAAAGTATATAAATGATTATTTGCAATCAAAGTAGCGTCTTCATAATCAGTAGGAAACGTTGTAGTTTCTATGGTGTAAGGGCTCGTGGTGCCGGTTATTGTAAACTTGGCATCGGCGTCATCTCCACTGGCAATGCTAACCACTAGTGCGTCAGAGTTAATATCTGTACTGTGACATCAATAATAGAAGTACCTGTAAAATCAAATCAAA